CGAGGAAGGAAGTCTCGTGGACTGCGTCAACATGAATATCGTCTAAAAGCCAAACGGCTGCAGTACAACAAGATTCATCAGTCCTCATCTGGTGAGATCGACCAATGAACCTCTTCTTCATGCACTTTCATACGAAATGAAAGTCTCCCTAACAATATTATTTCAAGAGATTCATCTAAACCCAGTTTCTCTTCGTATCTAGGATGAATACAATTCATATGCATGACACCTACTGATAGTCTCGAAAGCCTACTGCTAAACGAAATGCTTTTTGTCACTTTTTTGTCAATCACCAAGTGCATTTAATTTCGACGAAATTTATTGTATCCATGGCCATTTTACTTATTTATTGGTTAGAACTGGGGATGGCCTGTATTCAGGATTCACTATACATGTTTTTTAGTGCATATATCTTATTCATGCATTGGGGGAAGCTACGATGGATATTGCAAGGGAATCTCTTACTTCTATTGCGATTCATACGGACGATTGGAGGCTCACCTGCAGAGTTATTAATGAGATTAACCTCATTTTTCTACATCAGTCAATTTTTATGAGCTGTGTATGGCTTAGTCTCGGCTTTTCCGCTACAGGTTAGATTAGGAAAACCATGCATATGAGGGGAAAGGTGAGTTTAGGCATCAGTCAAAATTGTATGCTAAGTATGTAGAAATTTTGCAGAGCCTGCTGATTGCCCAACCGGTGACAAAGGACCTTCTTCTGGCTCCAGGCGCCCAGACGTCTCATTATTCACAGCGAAGCAGTCTCAGCTTCCGCTGATCGGGCCTAATCTAGCCGGGCTGACAACAGAGGGAACATCGATGGCTGAATCATGTCTTCCCTTGACCTGTTCACTTGTCAAGGCTCAGAAAGCCAAACAACCGGTTGACGGAAGAGTGTCCCAACGCCAAACTGGTGTTGAATTATCCAGATCCCTTTTCATGTATGGACTCCACTTCAGACTCTTTGGGCCAAACGCAGAAAGCAGTTCTATACGGCATCGGTAACTTGGTAAAAACAAATTTCCTTCCTAATTGAAGGTGCATCTTGGGCCTATGGTCGGGCACTGTGGTACCGTTTTCATTTATAAGAAGACTTTAGAGTCTACCAATGGGTCATATATATGAGCTGTATTCATTCTATTTCGTTGAGGATGATGAAGGGATTGGTAGTTGAATTTTCCCACAATGATATGAATATACCTGATGTTTCCATTGAATTTCACATAGCCTCGCTTTCAGAAAGGTTATTCCCATCGAGGCTAATGGGGGGGACTGTTTAGACTGGTCTCATCCGCACCCCCAGCGGGATTCGAACCATGACAATTCAGTGTATAATTTAGCATTCTGTATTGGGTTTGATGATGAAGCAAAGTTGTATTTGCCTCATTTATATACGGACCTTGAACGAAATATGCGAATATACTTATTGCATAGATTATGTATCGATAGCCGCGTAATACGACTTTTAAACAAAAAATAATTAACGTAGTCGATTGCTATAGCAAATGTAATTTGGTCTCATCGACAATCCCACCACGGAATATCATATGGCAAAATGCCTCCTGGCCTTCCCTGAAATTCACACCTGCCATGTAGCCCAAGGGCACTCGTGGCGATATGGCGTAGTGGCTGACGTTTCGAGATCATAGGCTGCACTATCATGCTTCGAGTTCCGTTAGGTGTGCTGATGTGACTTAGGCGAGGTAGAAACTGTAGTCAAATTCCGTTTGGATGTGAATAACTTTTGGAAAGAAAGGCTATGTGAAATTCAATGGAAACGTCATGTTTACACATACCATTGTGGGAAAATTCAACTGCCCTGGCAGACCTACTCCCCTCAAGTTTGCATCATCCGAACACCAACCACCGTTCGTCCAGTCTGCACCATCGACTGTATGCTGCGTCAGACACATTTGAATGTTTCATTTTGGTGCGAAAAGAAAGCCCCGAATACCCTGTTGTGTGGTGGCTGGGAGAACGGTGAACGTGGGCGCTAGTCTTCATGGGCCTCAGCCATATAATGACCTTTGTGCAAGACGTTAGGGTAAATCTAAACAAAGTCTAGTCAAAATATGATATACCAAGCTGGTATGGTCCCCATCTCCTGTAGCTGGATAGAAGTGGTTTGACCTCATTTCCGCAACTTGGCCGTGGTGACAGGGGACAACTTAAAAGTAGTACCAAGTTTTGCGTCATCATTTCTAGCGTCGGATCGTTAATCACCCAAACGTATTCGCCATCGCAATTATCGAATCAATGTACCAAATGGGACAAGTAGTGCTTGTAGACAAGAGTCGAAACAGATGGCTTGAAGGTGCGCGCGCACACACACACACACACACACTTGGGAGATGTTTTAATAAAATAAGGTAATCGGAGGTGTATATTGAAAAATTATCTAAATTAAGTA